ATAACTGTATTGGAACACCCTCCCTACTCACCTGATCTGTCCCCAGTGACTTCTTTCTTTACCCAAAGATAAAGGAAATATTTCAAGGAAGACATTTTGATGACATTCAGAACATCATGGGTAATACAACAGCTCTGACGGCCATTCCAGAAAAAGAGTTCCAAAATTGCTTTGAAGGGTGGACTAGGCACTGGCGTTGGTGCATAGCTTCCCAAAGGGAGTACTTTGAAGGTGACCATAGTGATATTCAGCAATGAGGTATGGAGCACTTTTTCTAGGATGAGTTCGCGAACTTAACTGTCAGACCTCGTGTATCATATATACATACATATAGGTAAGTGCCCAAAGCAAAAACATCCAGGCAAGGAGTTCTCACAAAGGTAACCATTACCCACTCTTTTATGGTTGTCATTTCCTCACTTTTAGAGTTTTACCACCAAAGCATGAGTCTCGGAACCACAGTTTTGCTAGTTTTTTGCATTCTTTTGTGTTTGGCTGTTTTTGCTCTGCCTGTGCCTGGAGCTATAGTCACACTGTTGTTACAGCTGTAGTTCGTTCATTTTGTTGCTGCAGAACATTCCGCCAATTTATTTATCCTTCTAAGGCTGGCAGCCACCCCCGGCCCCTGCCAAGTTTGAATAAAGCTGTGAGGTACATGTCTCCTGGTATATATGTGTGTGCATGCATTTGTCAGGTATATACCTAGGAGTGGAAAATCGTTCAACTTTATAGATAATGACAAACTGTTTTGCAAGCTGGTCTCACCAATTTTCACACCCACCAGCAGTGAGTCCCAGTAACTCCTCATCTCACCAAGAAGACACTGGCTACAGGTCGCCTTTCTCATTTTAGCCATTCTGTGTATGCAGTGTATTCACTGTGGCTTTAATTTGCATTTCCTTGATTACAAATGAGATTAATTAAATACTTTTCTATACATTTGTTGATGATTCAGATACTTTCTTTTGTGAAGTACATTACCAAATCCCAATTTTTCTACTGGGTTGATTATCTCATCTATTTGTATGGGTTTTTATAAATTCTAAAATCAATCCTTGGTTGGTTATATATGTTCATACCTTTAGCTTATTTTTCACTTTTAATGGCTTTTTCTGATAAACACAAGTTCTTAATTTTAATGTAGTTTAATTCATCAGTCTCTTCCTGAAAAGTTAGTTGTTTTTGTGTCTTATTTCAGAAATTCTAGAGGGATGAAGATATTCTCCTGTTACGTTACCTTCTAGAAGCTTTACTGTACTGCCTTTCACATTTAGACCTGAGAAGTATTTGGAAATAAGTTTTTAAAACTTTACACAATGGAAACTTCCAAACATACAAAATTAGTGAGAAAGGTGCAATAACCTCCTATAGACTCAGCCTCAACAATTATCAAAATTTTGCCAATCTTGTTTTATCTACTCTCCTCCATTCTACCTTTTTAAAAAATTATTTAAATAGAAATCTCAGACATAATTTCACCTGTACATACTGCATTATATACCTTTAACAGATAAGGCCATATATTAAAAACCTAATCATAATGTCAGTATCAACTTTAACAAAATCAACAGATTGTTGTGAGGTAGTGACCAAATTTGATTTTCCCCCAATGGTACCATCTAACTGACCCAGCACCATTTACTGAAAAGACTGTCCTTCCCTCAATGTACTCAGTACCATCTTTGTAATAAATCAAGTGTCCATTTTGCTCTGCTGGTCTATTTGTCTGTCTTTATGCCTCCACCTTGCTATGAAATCCTTTAGTTTATGAGTTTTGAAATCCAGTAAAGTCCTCTTCTCCCTTCAGTCTTTTTCAAGAGTATCTTGGCTATTCTTTAGTGCTTTGATTTTCTACATATGACATTTTTATTGTTCTTCAATCCATGAAACACAGTATTAGAAAATTTATTTACATATTCTTTTATTTTTCTCAACATTTCATAGCTTTTTATGTAGATCTTGTGTATATTTTTTCATACTTATTCCTAGAGATTTGATATTTCTGATGCTACTGTAAAGATTTTTTTTAGACTTTCATTTTGTTTATTGCCAATATATAAATATGCAATGTCTCATATCCATTTACCTTAGTAACCAATTATTTCTAATACTTTTCTGTAGATTCTATGGGATTTTCAGTGTTCCTCCATCTATATGAGCTACTGTTGATATGCCAATATCATAGTTTTTAGTGATTATCTAGTTTTACACTGTCACTTTAGCCGGTGAGTATTTTGTGACGAAGAGTGTAAATGCCTTGGCCAAAATCACAGGGGTCATTAGAAGCAGAGCTAAGACTAGAACTCAAGTGGCCTGACTCATTTTTTCCTCTTATATCACTTTTATGGTAACTTGATTAATCTTTAAAGCTGGCATTTAAAAAAACACATACACCCAAAAACCAATGTCTAGATTTATTATTATTTTTAATAATATTCTTCATAAAACAATCTTTAGAAGTATTTTCTAAACCAAATCCTTGCCAATTCAATCAAATAAGCCCTTAAGAGTCCTGAGAGTCACCAGAAAGGCCACTAACAAACTTGGTGGAGGTTCTATGTTTTTGTAACTACAAAGTAACTCAACTCAAAGAACCTAATATAGCTACTTGATGTACTGTGACTAAATATCACATCTCACTAGAAAAAAACTAGAGTTTTCCAGAGCAGCCTGCAGGGCTAGACCGATGATGATATACACAAAGTCACAAAGAAATGCTGAAACACCTCAATGCTTCTAATTCCATCCTGGGTACATACAACACATTCAAATGAGACTGTCAATTCTAGAAATAAGCAGTAACTGAAAATAAGGCCCACATATTTATACTATGTTAAGTGTATGCATATGTCTGTAAACACACAGAGCCTACATTTAGGCTTGTTATTGTAAATGTGGTCACCTTAAATAAGACAAAGTAGTACAAAGAAGTTTAGCAAGTAAATCTATGTCTGAAAATTCAAACAAAGTATATGGTATTCTATCATTTCACTTAACATGAAAATCATTTCATGACTTTTCCCCCAGGATCATATGTTTCGTATCTGCTGTTGGCCTCTGAGCTAACTTATGCTTTTATCCTTTAGATTGTTTTCTAAGACATGTAATAATAATTGTCATGAGAAAACTATGGAGAAAACATCTTTAGAGAATAAGAAGACACAATAAGTACAGTAAAAACTTCATGAGACAAAAAAAGTTTTCAAAGCAAACAAAAGCAAGATGTCATGCAGCCAATTTTTTCTTGATTATCAAAAAAGGACAGATGATCACTGGGAGCATGACTAGCCACCGGGGCAGTCAGAGATCAGCACTTACTTTGAACTCACAACTACAATCTGGAAAAACAACTTGGCTTTAAGGATGGTTCAATTCCTTATCTACTCTTCCTTTCAAAATGCTATCACGTTGTAAGGTCAAAATGTGATCATAAAAAAATCACTCAGGGGCCAGCCGAGTGGTTCAGTTGGTTAAGAGCTGGCTTGGGAGTGCGAGCTCTGAGCAGCAGGGCTGCCGGTTCAGTTCCCACATGAGGGCCAGTGACACTGCGCCCTCTACAGTTAAGATTGTGAACAACAGCTCGACCTGGAGCCGGGCTGCCGTGAGTGGCTGGCGACGGCATAGGCTGCAGTGGACTGCAGTGCACTGCCATGAGCGGTCAGCAGCTGGCAAAGCTGCCTTGAGCCACCGTGAGCAGCCGTCCAATAGCCGGTGAATGACTGCCTCAGCTGGGAAGAACACAATGACCATAATATCAACATGGGCCAGTAAAGCGACATCCTCCACAGCTAGACTGAATAACAAAAGGACAGCAACTTGTCTGTTCCCCTCCCCCAATTCCCCAATAAAATCTTAAAAAAACAAACAAAAAAAACATCACTCAGTCTATTACCCTCACTTCACGCTGATAATATCCTGCATAGTTTGGTGTCTNTGCAGTGGGTTGCCATGGGCTACCATGTGTAGCCAGCAGCTGCCATGAGCGGCCGTCGAGAAGCCAGCAACTTATCTCCCTCGCCTGGGAAGAGGGCAATGATGGTGCCAACTTGGGCCTGAAGCAACGTCCTCCACAACTAGACTGAAGAACAAAAGGACAGCAACTTGTCTGTCCCCCTTCCCCCAATTCCCCAATAAAAATCTTAAAAAATAAAATAAAATTAAAGAACAACAACTTGGCTGTTCCTCTTCCCCAATAACATCTTAAAATAAATAAATAAAAATAAATAAAACAAAACAATACAGGTTGCTAATGGTAGTTGTTCGTTCTAACACTGTCACAGAAAATAAGCAGAATGCACAACCAAGTAAGGGGATACTGAACGTATCAGTCCTTTAAGGATGTAAAAAGTATTTATCAACCTGGAAAAATCATCACAATATACTCTTAAATAAAAATTTTAAAAAACGGATTATAGAAGAGAATGTATAGTGTGAGGTCATTTTTGCTTAAACATTTTTTTCTTTAGATATGTATGTACAGAGGAGCGTTTGGAAGACTACAGATCTAAGCCAACATATTAACACTGATTTTTCTCTCTGGGTAGTTGGAAGATTGTGGGTTTTGTTTTTTTTCTTGTCCATATTTTTGATAACACATAAGCAATGACTTTATAAGAAAAAAACTTCTTAAAATAAAAATAAACCCCAAGATATTTTATTAGTCTTTATATAGAAAAAGAACTACTCCGGATTTTCAACCAAGCCTACACTAATAAAAAGACTACATGATCAAAAACAGATTAAAAAACACACAGAAAAGGAGACTGCTTCCTTTAAGGCAGTGTTCAGAAAGGTCTCTGCTTTGCTGCACATTACGTGGGTGTTAGCTGGTTCTGTGACACCTTGCTTCATCATATTTTACTGAAAATAACTACCAACCACTGTGTCAACTATGAAATCACTGCCATGAGAGAAAAAGGAAGCAGACTTTAATCTGATGTTATGGTTCGAAGGCCAGTGATTTCAGGCACAAATGATGCTTTCCTTGTCACTTGACTGACTGCAAACCCCACTCATTTCACACACTCTAGCCTGACAGTCTGCATTCCACTTGTGGTCGTACTGGCCAAGACCTCTAAGCAAAGGAGGCAGACACAGCTAGGAAGGAGGACACTGGCGGTGTCTCTTACATCTCTATCAAGTCCAAGTCGGGCGCCTCCGGCTCCATGGTGGAAAATATCATGACTCCCACCAGCTCGTCCTTCTCCGCCTTCCGCTTCCCCGTCTTCCATTCCTGAAATAGGAGCAGCAGAAGTTAAAGTGGAGACGACAGAGTCACACCGGCCTGTCAAATCCCCTACAGAGTCGGCTCGCTTGTCATCTTTATCTTCCTAATTTTCAGGAAGCAGGTCCCATGCCATCTCCCTGTGCACCCCGGGGCCAAACGCCTCTCCATCTCAAGTGTCACCTCGGACGTGAACAGTGCCCTGCACAGCACGGTCTTCTAGAGCGAGGTGATTCAGCACTTTCCTTTCCTAATAGCTACCAATATAAACACAGCGAGTAACACACCCACCCTATGAACTTGGACAAAGTGCCTCAAATTTTTAGGTTGTTTTCTAAAAGGGTTTGTTAAAGCTTTTCTAAAATTCAAGATAGAAACCAATATCATGAGTTATTTTTTAAAAACATACTATTACAAGATATAAAGATCTGACAATTAAGTTCACAAACTTGTTGCAACGATACCAGAGAGATTTGATATCAGAGATTATTCATTATGAATTTGTACCAACTGGACAAACAATTAACCAAGTTTACTATTTGGAAGTGCTGAAAAGGCTGCATGAAGAAGTTAGACAACCTGAACTTTTCACCAACAATTCATGGCTCTTGCATCACGACAATGCACCAGCTCACACGGCACTGTCTGTGAGGGAGTTTTTAGCCAGTAAACA